TTTCACCGGTACGGTAGGTATCCCGGGTGGAGCAGGTGGGTAGTTTATGGCTCGGTTTAGCAACTAGATTGAGCCCATAGATATATGATGTTCACCTGTAACAAGGCAGACAGTATAAACAGACGTATAGCTATGATGCAGTGTAACTGATTACCAAGCAGACAGTTGATTAGGCATATAGTTATGCGATAGGTTAAGGTGCAGTAAATCAGACAGTTCAGTAGGCATATGGTTATGCTATTGGTTAAGTTGCAGTAAGGCAAGCAGTTGTGTAGGCATATAGCTATGCGATAGGTTAGGTTGCAGTAAGGCATACAGTTGATTAGGCATGTAGGAACTGCTGTGGAGATCTCCCTACCATAGCCTTATGGCTATGGTAGTAATACTTGCTGTTTGTGGCTCTGGCAGGTATGGAGGGACATCCGCAGCAACTCTCCTTCAGTGGTGGTTCCTGGAGCAGCAGGGCTGTTGGTTTGATCAGCGTCCTGCTTCAACAATAGTGGGACGCCGATCAAACGGTGGATCGCGGCTTTATGCCGACTACTCGGGTGAGTGGGCGGAGTCTCGAGGCGCGCCTGCGCATTGACACCGCCAGACGCCGTACGAGAGTGGGAGGAGTCTCGCGGCGAGTACGGCTCGTTGTCCCGGCCGAGGGGTGTGATGAGTATCACATAAAGGTGTGGATCAGGGACCGGGCAGCCGCTTTACAGACTAAAGCCCAGTTTTGGGAGGTCCAAGAAACACTGATCTGGCAGAATAAACAATGACAGTGAATAGGAAAACATTCTTTCAGGAAATTGTCCTTTCAGAAGGTCCCCATATAGGGTTTCCCGCATCCCCAATTTTTTTTTTAGGCCTGAGTCAGTCTTTCTGAAGCAAGTTGTGTGAAGGGCAATGAAAATGCAGAAGGAAGCAAGCACAATGCCCTCATTGAGGTGGACGAGATCATGACCTAAGGCAAGAATGAAGGCCTACATCTCAAGATGACCTTATCCTTATGATGAATGTCCTTACAGGACAAGGATGCGATCTCCAAAACCCTCTAAACCAATGTAATGACACAGGAAAGGCCACATTCTAAAATAGAGATATAAGAGGGATCTCTCAAATCCTAAAAAAAAAAAAGCCTTTGAAAAAAGGAAGAACCATATTAAGCTCCCACGAATTATGAAAGGACCTAACAGGAGAGGCGATGCAACAGCCTGAACAAAGCTACGGGGCAAGGGAGCGATTGGTCAGAGGCTGTTGAAAACAGAATCGCTAGGGCTGAAATCTGTTGGTTAATGGGGATTCAGAGCTAGGTGCTGATCCATACACTACTCAATCTATACTAAAATGTAAACGGTAGATTTTGGTGTGTGAGTGAATGTGTTGGTCCCTCTGTGATTAAAATTAAAACCTGTGGGGGTAAAAAACAAACAAACACACACACTCTGATATGATGCACACAAACATTAACACACATACCCACAACACTCACAGAAATCTTTACAATACGCAAACACAGACCATTACAAAAAAAAAATATACTGACATTGCACACAAAAGAAACACAGACATTTTAAAACGCATGCAGATATTAACAATGGTACCGTATATATAGTTACATTTCATTTTGAAGTATGAAGTTTGGCAAATTTGGGAGGAAAATAAATTTGTCCAGTGGCCCCAAAATGAATTGAGTTCGAGACCCCTGGTAAAAGGTCAAGTCTGTAGGTATAAAGCATTTATTCTGTATTCAGATAGAAAGCTGGCTTAAAGACTATTCAGAGAGTGGTGATCAAGGATTCATACTTTGAGGTTGTTGGTGGTGTCCCCCGAGGTTCAGTGCTGGGTCCCTTACGGTTTCATCTATTTATAAATGACATAGAATTGGGGGTTTAAAGTACTATTTCTGTGTTTGCAGATGACACCAAGTTATGTAGTGGAATGCAGTCCTTACAGGATGTTTCCAACTTACGAGCAGATCGGAATGCACTGCGTGATTGGGCATCTATTTGGCAAATTAGGTTTAATGTTGATAAATGTAAAGTTCTGCACTTGGGGTATAAGAACATGCATGCTTCATACACTCTAGGGGGAGTATTTTTGGGAGAGTCAATGATGGAGAAACTGGGTGTTCTGGTAGACCATAGACCTCAATAATAGCATGCAATGTCAAGCCGCAGTTTCTAAAGCAAGTAAAATACTTTTTTTTTTTTAAAACAAGAAAGGAGGAGAGAGAGAAGAGAGTAGAGAGTGAGAGTGCTAAGCCTGCCCCTGTACAAAGTATTAGTAAGACCTCATCTGGAATATACAGTTCAGTTTTGGGCACCAGTTCACAAAAAGGATGCTGTGAGATTGGAGAAAGTGCAGCGAAGGGCGACTAAACTCATAAGAGGCATGGAGGAGCTCAGCTATGAGGAAAGATCAGCTGAATTTGTTCTCTCTGATCACCATGTATAAATACATACATGACCCATAGAGCGAGTTTGGTGCCAGATTGTTCACTTTGAGGTCACTGCAAAGGCCAAGGGGGCACTCTTTGCATCTGGAGGAAAAAAGGTTTAACTTTTGCATACGGAAAGGCTTCTTTGCAGTTAGAGCTGTGAAAATGTGAATAGACTTCTGCAGGATCTAGTTCTAGCTAGCTCAGTTAACGGTTTAAAAAAAATCTGGATGTATTCCTAAATGCACAGAATATTACTAAATATTAACTTCTTAAAAGTAAAATAAGCACCAGAGACTGTTGATCAACGGAATGTCCGATTGCCTCACCACAAGGTGAGGCCACATGCTCTGAATCAGTGTGTGAACAAGGAGATAAAAGGGACTTGCTTCCTGGTGGGGCCTGGTTTAACACCCTTAATATAGGAGAGAAAAAGCCATGCAGAAGTTACAAGAGGAATTGTGTACTCTCAATGAGATATTCAGACGACCGTTAACAGTGCAAATGCCAGCACAGGTCAAATTAAAGATAGGTATGGGCAAAAAGAGATCTCACGAGAGACTTCAGTTTCTTGGCCAAGTTTTCCTTAAAGGGTGGATGCCTTGTTAAGGAGATCAACCACAGGGCAGATCCTTAATTGGAGAAAATGCATGATCAATGCGTTTCCAGTCCTCATAAATAAATGGAGTAGAGGCAGATAGAAACATCTTGGCTGAGAGTTTCAGCATGTAATCTGCTAAACCAGCCACTATACTGGAAGTAGGGATCACTCCATCCTTCAGACATGCTTGACTGAGACTGGGAAGTTTTAAAGGCAGTCACAGAAGCAGGTACATCTCAGAAAAGGACTTACAAGCAACTTGGCTATCACAGACAGTGGATGGAGAAAACCGGGTCTGTCTAAAGAGCATGCCCTCAGTAGCATTGTGACAACTCTTCTCCTTCATATTAGTCATGTTGCTAGGTGACCACAAAGACACACTAGATAACGGTGTCACTTTGTGATCGCTACAAATGTGTTCCTAAAACTGCACCTGTAGGTCCAAAAGGTACTTCTATGGGTACCTCTCAAGCCCACGAATAATAACCAGTCCAGCTGAATTAAAAGTGGCCAGGTTTGTCCAGTCACAGCAAGTAGCAGAAAGTGCAGCACTGCCAAAAAGTGTAAAGAAGAAAACACAAGGCTGGGGAAAGCTCTGTGTGGAGCTGCAGCCTATGTGAAAACTAGATGGAAAGCTGCACAAAATTGATATGGCAAGAATGGTGCTGAAGGCCACAAAAATGTAAACAAAACTGCAATCAAGGATTAATTCAGCCAGAAACAAACAATACACTTTAAAGGGTCCAAGCGCACAATAACAGATAGGCACTTCCCACAGAAAAACTCTCCCCAGGTACACAGCATTGCTGATGTTGTTGTGTCTTACTCATTTCTTTGGTAAGTCTTCAATGCCAGCCTAGGATTACAAGTCCAGTCTGACACTAGAACCAGGTGGTATGGTATGTCCCTCTGCGTCCTCATGTCCTATACACTGTGTATAAGACATGATGATTCAGGGGACTTAAGACTTCTGCTGGGAGGCTCCCGGGACAAGTCTAAAAGCAGAATCGGGTGAGTATTACTTTTTTTTTTTTTTTTACCCTAGGCAAAAAAAGGAGCATTTAACCCTTGGAGTGCGGGGTATCCCCACTGCAAGGGTTAATAAAATGTTTACCTGGAGTTCTGCTTTAAAACAAGTTCATTGTAAGCTGTGTTCTCTCTTGCTCAATGTAGCACACGCTTTAACATATGTTGCGTTTCGATGAACTGCCAATGCACCACAATGGAACTAAAATCAGACTTGCACCATTTTTAATGATACGGTATACCACAAAGCACGGCAGTGCGTTTCCATGTATTGTGGTGAGCTGCACCACAGGTGCTTCGGGTGATTGGTGCCTCAGTATGTCAGAGTGCCATAAAAAAAAAAAAAGGACACAGCAATACAGTGAATTGAGGTACATGTACACTGAAAACGGCAGCGGACTGTGGTACATGCAAACTGAAAAACACACACTCCAAATGTGTGTTGCTGCAACATGTAGGTCTCAAGGGGGCCTTAAGGTAGAAGTTATCTGGGTGGCTGCAGAGTTACCCGATTACTTCTACAGCGCATTAAGTGTTACCGCCACCATTGCCTCCTCCTTATGGTATTGTTCAAACTTTCAAGGTTGTAATGTGCATGTGAAAAATAGCAAATTTCTATTAGCCATCAGAAGTGTTAAATGGGAGGGGAGATCCTATTTTTAGTAAAAGAAAGACACTTCTAGTTTTGGGACAAAAGAAGTAATAAACCTTTATGTAAGTCAATACATTCTATAATAAAGTATGGATAAAGGCATGCAGTGGCCAAAACATTTTGTAAAAAAATTATAATGACAAGTGAACACACCCAAACAATTTCTTTAGTTTCAATAGCATTTGACTGTTTCTTAATATGCTGAATATATGTGAAATGTGCTAGAAATTGTGCAAAATACAACTCAGCAGTTATAACCATTTAAAAAAACAGATGAACTAGAGCCCAAAAAATCCTTTCCACACATTGAGAAGGCAGATTATGACATTTTTAGGTGCAGTCGGCTATTTACCTAAAAGGACCAACTTGATGTAAGATATCGTGGTCATATTTGACAACATTGCAATGTGCTCATTACCCGGCAGTTCCACTAAAGATACTGCCTGTTTCTGCCTACCCGCCCATTTGCGACACTGTAAGGCACTTTCTATGTTTACTGTTCCATCTCCAGGTCCATATATTATGCTTGGGTCCTTGTCTGGAAAACTATCATACTGGAATGAATCAGGGGTGTCCACTTCAGTACCATAAAAACAATGTACCGGAACTCCAGGAGGTGTAAGTGATGATATTAATCCCTCTGTTTCTTTCCTCATGACCCAACCTTCTGGAAAGCCAATGTCATTATAAAACTTCTGATAGTCCTGCAGTGTGTAATTTGCATTTTGAGTCCTTACAAATACTTTGTCAAGGGACCATGTGTTTCTGTATGGAAGTAGCCAACTGGTTGATACTGCTGAGCGTTGTTGGTCACGAATCCGCAAAGAACTGATCACTGGTATTCTGTTGTTATCTCCTACAATGCAAATAATACATTTATTACCAAGCCTGATAAGGGCACTATTTTACCAATAAGAAAAAAAAAACCCGTTAATATTTACTGTGTAAAAAAATCCTGTTAGTTATCTTAAAGCTGAACTCCGTGCAACAGTTAAAAAAACAGATAAAATACATATAAAGGGAACTGTTTTACTTGCAAAAGGATTTCTCTGTCTATCCAGTTCTGAGATTTACAGGGCTCTGCCAGACAACACAGCCCTGTCTGGCAGGGGGAAGACCCGACTATTAACATTATTCAGTATCTACAGTATATAGTGCCAACACTTTGCGCGGAGCTCTACCAAATGAAAGGGGATAGCACAGTTCAATACAGGAGGGCGCTGCTCATAAAAGCTTATAATCTAAAAAGGTGGGGCAAGTGAGACAAAAGGCAATAATTGTGAGGGATGAGGTGATGGAGGAAGTACAGTTGTTGTTAGGTGGATGTGGGCTAAACTTCCCGACAGAGGATTTTTCTGATTAGACTCATCAGCTTGTCTTTCTGTGACGCTGCTCTTGCCTCCTATCAGCATGCTACTTTCACTGCAGCACAACTGATTGGCTTTTTGTGCTTCTTCCTTCCTCCAGTATGAGCTCTGCTATTCAAAAACCTGCAAGCGTTTAATACCATGTACGAGTCAGAAACTTGCACAGCTTGCATTAAAATACATTTCATACGGAATAAATACAAAGCTGCATTATTTTGTATTAAATATCTGCTTGAGCTTCAGCTTAAATATGTGCATTACATACATTTTGAGTTCACATTTAACTTACTGATATTGGCATGCATATGTAAGTTTAGCTAGGTTTTGAATACATTTTGTGATGATTAAATAGCAGGTTTTAAAAAATTACATTTTATACAGACCTGAAGCAAGAACTCGCATTGTTTTAGAGACTCCACCCCAAGGAGCACCAAGAGCCAAAAAAGAATGAATGTATTTGTCCTTCCAGTTTTGAGTCTGGTGGTTAAGGAAATAAAGGGTATATAGGTTTCCCATACTGTGTGCAATGAGTGCCACAGGGCTCTTGTAGGTTTCAAACATAGTTTCTATAATAGTGTACAGCTTGTATATCAGTGTACATTTGCTGCCCCCTCAAAATAACTCAACACACAGCCATTAATGTCTAAACCGCTGGCAACAAAAGTGAGTACACCCCGAAGTGAAAATGTCCAAGTTGGGCCCAATTAGCCATTTTTCCTCCTCGGTGTCATGTGACTCGTTAAGTGTTACAAGGTCACAGGTGTGAATGGGGAGCAGGTGTGTTAAATTTGGTGTTATCGCTCTCCCTCTCTCATACTGTTCACTGGAAGTTCAACATGACACCCCATGGCAAAGAACTCTCTGAGGACTCGAAAAAAAAGAATTGTTGCTTTACATAAAGATGGCCTAGGCTATAAGAAGATTGGCAAGACCCTGAAACTGAGCTGCAGCACGGTGGCCAAGACCATACAGCGGTTTAACAGGACAGGTTCCACGCAGAACAGGCCTCGCCATGGTCGATCAAAGAAGTTGAGTGCACGTGCTCAGCGTCATATCCAAAAGTTGTCTTTGGGAAATAGACGTATGAGTGCTGCCAGCATTGCTGCAGAGGTTGAAGGGGGGGGTAGCCTGCCAGTGCTCAGACCATACGCTGCACACTGCATCAAATTGGTCTGCATGGCTGTCGTCCCAGAAGGAAGCCTCTTCTAAAGATAATGCACAAGAAAGCCCGCAAAGCCCGCAAACAGTTTGCTAAAGACAAGCAGATTAACCCCTTCATGACTGAGGTTATTGGAGCAGGGAGGGGGGAATCCAGCCCCTCCCCTGTCACGGCAGAGAGCTGTGACAGGATCGAGAGGTGAGCGAACGCCAGTATGTGTTCGCTCACTTCTCGATCTACTGAGCCGACCTGTGACAGTCTCATTGTCACAGGTCGGCTAGAACTATGAGGTGAGTGAAAAGCACTCGCCTCATAGTTCTCCTTTAAGGACATGGATTACTGGAACCATGTCCTGTGGTCTGAGGAGACCAAGATAAACTTATTTGGTTCAGATGGTGTCAAGCGTGTGTGGCGGCAACCAGGCGAGGAGTACAAAGACAAGTGTGTCTTGCCTACAGTCAAGCATGCTGGTGGGAGTGTCATAGTCTGGGGCTGCATAAGTGCTGCCAGCACTGGGAAGCTACAGTTTATTGAGGGAACCTTGAATGCCAACATGTACTGTGACATACTGAAGCAGGGCATGATCCCCTCCCTTCGGAGACTGGGCTGCCGCAGAGCAGTATTCCCAACATAACGACCCCAAACACACCTCCAAGACGACCACTGCCTTGCTAAAGAAGCTGAGGGTAAAGGAGATGACTGGCCAAGCATGTCTGCAGACCTAAAACCTATTGAGCATCTGTGGGGCATCCTCAAACGGAAGGTGGAGGAGTGCAAGGTCTCTAACATCCACTAGTGATGTCGTCATGGAGGAATGGAAGAGGATTCCATTGGCAACCTGTGAAGCTCTGGTGAACTCATGCCCAAGAGGGTTAAGGCAGTGCTGGAAAATAATGGTGGCCACACAAAATATTTACACTGGGCCCAATTTGGACATTTTCACTTAGTTGTTGTGGAAATTTTACTAGGATGTGTTTTTAGTGTATTGTAATGTTTTGTCATTAGTCTCTCAGTGTCTCGGTTTAAATAGACACTGGGGGGTTAAACCATTGGAGTAGATATCTTATGCGCGGCGGAGCAGTGTCTTCTTGGCGAATGTATGGACGCACGGCTGGGGCCCCCCATGCAATGCATGGATTTATTGGCTTGCGTGGATACATTTGTTTGGAGCGCAGTATATGAAAGGAACGTGCGTTTATTTTCCCTAGTGAGTCTGATCAACCCGCTGGAGATAATGACTTTGCCTGTAATTACGCACGCATGAGAATCACAGTAACGTTATGTGGCATTGATCACTGAGCAATGCTGGATAAAGTCACTCCGGTGGTCATAGATTATTCTACTACATGTGATTGTTCTACTCATGTGTTTTGTAGACTGGCTATGTATTGAGGAAGTGCTTCTTAACCTCACTTCCTGGTTTGCTGGTTCTTGAAATCGTTTGCTGGTTGTTGACATCACTTCCTGTCTTGCCCCATTTCCTGTTTTGCTATCACTTCCTGTCTGCCCCATTTCCTGTCTGACATCACTTCCTGTTGGGCAGGTATAAAACAATAAACATACCTGTGCTCTGTCTCTAAGCATGGGTTTATCAAGCAAGCAACACATGTCTCCTGACTCTACATGACTCTGAAGGGGATACTTCCAGTCCTTGCACAAAAGAGCGTAGTACAACGGGGGAAATTCTTTGTGTTTGGCGCAGCTTAATGCGACATGGATTTGT